TTGCGACGAATGTCCATATTTCATCCCGGAGGTCTTTTCGACCTCTGCGCGGAACTCGCGTCCTCTATCCATGAAACCTCAGCAGGCCATGGATAACGGTAAGCCACGTTTGTTCTAGGACGATGGCTACTTCGTCTGCTGCATTGGAGCAGATCCTGCAATCTCGAACATCGGTTACGGGATCAATCATTGTCAAGCAATGAAGTTGCAGGGAATTCTTTTTCTTGGAGTTCCCCTACGTTGTAAGGACCTATCAAGTCAATACTAGTCTTTCCCAAGGGATCTCCTCGCAAGTCTTTGGAGCTCATCATCCCAGCTTACGCGTCTTGGGTTTGTGTTCATCTGCAGCTTTGGCAACGCTGTACATACGCTGCACAGTCTTGCGCAGTCCCTTTCCAGGTGATTGGATGTTGGCTTGATGGTTAGTTCTGTGCGAGTCTCGCCAGAATGCATCAGCACACCATGGTACCATTCAAACAGCTTCTTCTGCATAGTCATAGGTACGACGATCTTATAGTCATTAACTACTAAGTCGTAGGACTTATCCCTCTAGGGAAAGCTTGCTTCTTGTAGTCGTTTTGGTTGTCCCGGAGGACTTTCTTGATATCGTTGTCGTACTTTCTGCCGATGTTCGATCTCGGGGAACGAGAGAGGGAACTCGATAGGGAAGTCCTCTTCGTTTGCAGCCATGAGCTCAGCAATCTCGCTGGCGTCCATCTGTTCTGGAAAACCGTCGTTGTTGAGATGTTAAGTCTCGACAACGAATCAGCGACGATGTTCTGTTCGCCCGTGATGTACCGCAGTTCAGCGCCGTATTCTTCCAGAATAAGGCGCCATCGCATTACGCCATCGGTATTGAAGTTCTTACACGTAAGATTCTTGTGTGCGTCCGTGTGACAAACGATCTTCTGTCCTAGAGGAATGTTACGGAACTCTTTTAGAGTTTCTACGATACTTATAAGTTCCTTCTCGGTAACTGTGTAACGTGTCTGAGGAGGGTTGAGCTTCCTGCTGTACAACGCGATAGGTTTTCCCTTCTGGGAAATTACTGCACCTAGTTAAGTATCACTCGCATCCGTATTGATAACGAATGTATCGTTAAAGTCAGGGTAGGCGAGCAAGGTTTCTTTGCTGATGATCTTCTCCATCTGGCTAAAGGCCTTGTCATGCTCCGCTTCCCATTTCCACTTCGTTGTTTTGGAAGTTCAACGAAGCGAGTGGTGCCAGTACATTTGATCGTCTAATCTACATGTCTCGATAGTAGGTCACTAGTCCAATGAATCTAGGAGGTTCCTTCCTGTTGGTGGAAGGAGCGATGTTCTGTTGATCGCGTCTATTTTCTTGGTTATAGGTTGGATCCCTTCTCGAGTAATTCAGTAACCTAGGTACTCAAGTTGTCCTCTTGCGAAGAAGGACTTGGTAGCATTGATTTTGATTCCGGCTTCTCGAAGCCTTCGGAGAACTTCATCCAACTTTTCAACGTGATCTGCTATATCGCCGTTATTTAGGATGAGTAGATCATCGATGTATGCACGGACGTATTCTAGGTCGTGCATTAGTTGTCCCATCTTCTCTTGGAAGATGTCGTGACTATTACAGAGGCCCATCGGCAACCTCTTGTACTCATACTTTCCCCACGGGAGTACGATATTACAGAGTTGCTCTTGGTGAGGTGACGCTCATGTGATTAGTTATCACATGTTCAGGTTCTAGACTAGTAACAAGACTTGAATCTGTCTAGGTTCAAGAGCATTGTCTGTATTTTTGGGATAGGATAAGGCTTCCGCTTAATCTTTTTGTTCAGTTCCCGGAAATCAGAGATGAATCGTACGGATCCATCCTTTTTTGGAATGATAAAAGTTGGTTCCGCCCACTCGGAACGGTTTACCTTCTTGAGTACTCCTGCCTCTCAGAGACGGTCAACCTCCATTTTAAGAGTGTGGGTATGAACCCGTGGAATAGGATAAGCTCTGGCATGATAGTGTTTAGCATAAGGGAGAAGTTCTACTTCTTAGTGTCCATCTGCCTCTTTCCTAAATTACCATCGAATAGGTCATATTACTTCGTCAGTAAGGAAAGAAGCTGTTCCTTTTCTTCCGTGTTTAACTGTTTTTGACTTTGGAAAACCTGCCTCAAGTCAGCTTTTTCGTATTTTGCGATCAGAATCTTCTTGAGACGATCTGCACTGTCATCAACAGCGGTAGGATCAGAAATGAAAAAGTTTTCTTCTTCATTGTTATCGCTATCTTTCATAGTAATATATATGCCGTCCCACTCCAATGACACGGTAGTGAAATCAAACTTAAATCCTAAATCAGACAGAATGTCTCGACCTATGAACATGTCATAAGCCCCCAAGCTCGTGGTGACGTGTAAGTCCCTCTCGATAATTCTATCTTCGTGGAATTCAGGAATCATGAATGCACCTTTGCACTTCGTGCTGGTGTTTAATTCTCCTGCAGGGTAGTCCACATCGTTTTGACGCCCCCAAGATCCTTCATGCGTAATTTCTTAGCATGAGGTTGAGCAATCAAGGTTCCGGATGCTCCTGTATCCAGTAGCAACGGAGTGTAACGGTTTTTGTTTTCCCTTTTTCTCGCTTGTTAAATCTAACATAAACGATGGGTTTGAGGTCTCTTGTCTTGCGACGTTTCAGAGGTGGTTGGCCACGGCAGAGGTTAACGATGCTAATAGATCATCAGAGTCTAGCTGAGCAGCTTCTAGGCAATATTCTAATTTGCCGTAGAGTTCCTCAGTTGCAAACAATTCTTGTCTAGTTAGTAGGATATCTTCATCACTTTGGTATGAGAGATCGGAACATGGTTTCGTTGAGTCATCATCCTGGCCTTATCCTTCGATAGAGATTTCTCATCCAAGTGATTGAAATTGATAGAGGAGTTTGTCCTCATTGTCAGAATCTTCTGATTGCGCGTTGGGCAACATGGTTGCGAAGTTTGCAAGTGGTTGTACGAGTATCGTAGATCTCGTTTTCTCCGTCATTGTCGCCGAGAGGAAGAATGGGTTTGTCACGCAACTGTTTCTCGAAGTTGCTTGCGGAACGCATGCTTTCCTTGAGCCATCTTCATGGTGCAGAATAGGTTGAGGGTAGCTGAAAGCATTGTGTTTGTTAACAAGATGCACTACGCTAAAAGCTAGTGTAAGATCGTTCGAGTGTTTGAGTTTGAGAGAATAAAGTTATGAGAGAGATTAGAAGCTATGAAAAATAATCAGACGAGAGAGATCATCAATCAAAGGATTGTAGATCTGGCTTCCCGCGGAACTATAAAGTGTGAAAGATAGGTTGTGGTAGTGATCCCACGTCTCTTCACTATCTAAAATGGAACGCGGAAGGTTTGTTCTAGCCTGATCTAGTACGTGGAAGTACTCCACGCTGGCAAAATATCTGAGCGATGTTTTATCATCAAACCTAAGTATGACTAGCGCGGTCATTGGAGAACCCTGTCTCAAATGACTATTCACGAGAAGATTCGTCATGAGTCAACCAAACCCTATCTAGGAGTCGAGTCGCGAATAAAGGCTAGAAGCCGTGTATTGCAAATCAGTGGCAAAGTCTTGAGGTCAAATCAAGACGGGTTTCAAGGTATTTTTGGTGCGAATAGCAGGTGCTATCAGTTGCAATAGGTACAATCCTTGTCCTGGTCAACAGGTACACTTATTTATTATGCTAAACTAAGAATTGTGAGCACACATGGCTCCTAAAGTCAAATAAAGTGGCACATTTCGAATGACCGCGAAATGGGACTTCCTACAGACGTAAACGGGACTCCCAGCCACTCTGTGCATATAAACATTCATCCAAGACTTCACCCGACCACCAAACATTGATACATAGGGACATTCATAGTCTAGGACTTCATAATGTCATCAAACATATAGTAATCATGCATGTCCCAAGACCTCATAGTATCTTCCATCATCTAGGAGTCTTGCCCAAAGATACTTATGAGTCATGCCAAAAGATACTTATGAGTCATGCCTAAAGACTTAAAGCACAGGCCAACCATACAATTTCCCAGAGTGAAACACTTTCAGGCAGCACACTTGTTCCAGGGAAAGACAAGCTGAGAAACCCGCACTACTGTGTAAACACACCAAAGCAAGACACAGTGGGAAGCCAGCAGTAAAGTTTTCACATCATGTGGCTTCAATCCAACTCCTGTCACTCCCTTGGGTTGGTGGCACTAACACAGAGACAAACATACAAGGGTAAGGTGGGCTCTTCAATCATCAAATCGCCCCTAAAGTACCTGCTTGCAGATCCGGTACATCTTGTGGGGTCCAAGATGCTTGGTCCCCATATCCGCGAGGTTCCATCCTGATGCGCTCTTCCCAACCCTGGCAACACCCATGGCAACAGCTTCCCTGCACCTGTGGTAGGCGCAGGCATTGTGCTTCTTCTTGAGGGATGAGGACGGCAACTGTAGGTTATTGACAACTGACATGTTGACAACCAAGATGGAGGTTGAGTTCTTCACTTCAACTCCAAACATTCTGGCCTTGTACATCATGGCAAGGGCAGCCTCAACTCCAATCCTTGCTGTGACAAACTCAGCCCCATAGGTGGAGAACTCAATGGTGGCCAACCACTTGGAGTAGGACTTGGTAGGCATCTGTCCAAAGAAAGCCATGTAGGAGGCCACACTGGACATGTAAATCTTGTTTGATGCATGGCTAGCATCCACCATGAGGACTTGGGTGATCTCAGGAACAAGGGGCTCAGGGGCATCTGGTCAATGGGCTCCATGGAGTCAGGGTACAATCCGGTCCAATCAATGTCTTCAGAGAACTGGAAAACCCCTAGGACGGCTGGGGAAGGGTGGGCAGCAAGCCTAAGCTTGGCCCTGAACTTGAGGTACCCATACATCCTCAGCAAACGGGCCTCATGGACCTCCCTGGGTCCCTACCATACCTAGCCATGGTCTTGACAGTGTACTGGATGTCAATTCTCCCCAGTGTAACTGCCCACTGCCCACAACCAACTAACATCGGGTACTGGGTAACTCTGGTGCTGTCCAAGTAGGGGACTCATCCAACTCGGGTTGATCTTCTGGTTCCATGGGGGATCCATAGTTTTTCAATGTGATCTTGTAGAGTGATTCAAGCTTGGGGATCAAGTTCTCAATATAGGTCTTGGCAGAGAACTCCCAGAGACCTGTCTCAGCGTTGAAGGTCAAGTCTCCTCCACTGTAGTATTCAGGGGTGCCTACTCCTTTCATCTCAAAGTGGTAGATGTCTTTGAGGGGTTCAATCACTTGGTGCGGGGCCTTGGAGAACACCAAAACATCATCAACAATGACCCCAACATTCTCATATGGTTCACTTTGTTCCTCATCTAAATGTTGCTATCAGCTCTTGAAGGGTTGAAGCCCATCGGGATAAGGGTGTCTGCAAGGGTCTGCCACCACATGGCAACAGAGACCTTGAGCCCGTACAATGCCCTTATGACGATGCACAGGACCCCATCTAGGTCTCCCCATTCATCTTCAAGGGTCACACAGATCTTTTCAACTGTGATGGACATTCAGTAGGCTTACCAAATCCCCTGCATCACCTCTAGCTTCATTCATGCAGCAATGAACACCCATCTGATTTCTCGAGATCAACACCCAAGTAGAGTCATATGGGTCGGTCGCTCGCCGCAGTCTCTGGAACACCTGCAAAACACACTTGGCTCGTGAGCCCCTGCATCAAACCCTTCACAAGAAACGGCTCTCCTGACTGCGCGTATCGGTCACCTCCCCTGGTTTGGCTTTCTTGAAGGAGGGGAACCTATTCTTGAATGTGTCCACCTCCAATTCAATTGCATCGGTCCACAATGAGTTGCCATAGATCTCATCGGCGTTGAGAGCGCGCGTGCGTGTGTGCGCGCTCTCGACCACTCACTCCAATACTCTACTCTGACTCACCACCCCAATCTCACCGCGAACCTGGCTTACGACATCAGGTCTAAGATAACGTATCGTGGTGACATCCGTCCACAATGAGTTGCCATAGATCTCATCCAGCTTGTAAGCCTCTGCCTTGGTCCTTGGAACCCTCCCTCCAATCATTCTTGCCATGCCACCCAATGCTGCCTAATTTTTATCAAATCTCATGAGAGTGCCCCGCACTTTAAATCATATGTTCTCCTTGTCCGACTGCTGTCGCGCCTTCTGTGACCCTTGTCAGGGGGCGAATGCAATACATGGCTCTTAGCCTTATTCGCGACTTGATCCTAGATAGGGTTTGAGTTCGACTCATGACTGAGTCTCTCGTGAATAGTCATTTGAGACAGGGTTCTCAATGACCGCGCTAGTCATACTAGGTTGATGATGAAACATCACTCTAGATATTTAGCCAGCGTGGAGTACTTCCACGCTACTAGATCCAGGCTAGACAAACCTTCCACGCGTTCCATTTTAGGATCGTGGAGAGACGTAGGATCACTACCACGACCTACTCTATCACACTTTATAGTCTCCCGCGGGAAGCCAGATCTACAATCCCTTGATGATGATCTCTCTCGTTGATTAGTTTTCATAGCTTTCTAATCTCTCTCATAACTTTCATTCTCTCAAACTCAAAACACTCGAAAGATCTTTACACTAGGTTTTAGCGTAGTGCACTATCATCATCATCATCATCATCAAGGGCTCCAACATTGTGTTCTTCATTGTCGCCATCAAGTGCATCGAAGGGAATGCACTCCAAATCAGCCAAATCCTTGGTTCCATCCTCCACCATTTGTGCCAAATCTTGGACAGTTTCCTCTGGGGTAACCTCCTCCTCAATTTCAGCTTCTGGGAAACTTCCTGCCTGGCTAGAAGCACTAGCAGCTGGAATAGAAGCTGCAGTTGGAGTGCTGACAGCCAGCTCTAATAGCAGCTTTCCAGTCAACCTATCGAACAGCAACGCAGCCTTGGAATCGCCTGTCTTGGTGCACTTCTTGGATTTGGTCGAAACGTGTCCCTTTTTACCGCAGAAGGGACAAAACCTGCCTTTGCTAGTTGTCGTCTTTGTCGTTTTCCTCTTCTTTGCAGGCCGTTTTGCGGCATTCTCGGCATCGATCCGTGCCGCCTCAACAGGAAGCTGCTCTTGCGGAAGATCCAAGTTCATGCCCGGACGGTAGCATTTGTGTCGTTTCGCCCATGCCTTTTTCGTGACAATCATTTCAATACGGATCCTCTCGTTCTTCTTTTCCGCCCGGTACTGTTTGTACTCCGGAGTCTTGAGCCAGTCCAATCGTTTCTGTCGTTGGTTCTGCCTGACGGTGAGGTAATGCTGGACGTTGTTTGTCATGTCAATTCCAAGCTTCAGGAAAAGACGGTTGAAAAACTTCACATATCCAAGGGAGACGATTCCGACGGCAAAGGCAAGACGATTGGCTAGCGAACAGGACCCGGAAAACACTTTGTTCTTCGGTGCGAACCAGGTACAGACGCTGTTGAATGACTCGTTTGCATTCGTGTCCAAGCCGTGGGCAATCTCTCTCAATCGCTCAAGCTCACAGTAGCGCCCCATTTTCTTCTGTAGCAGCTCGTAAAGCTCCACATCTTCTTTCTTGTCACGGTAGTACTTCTTGCTTGCGAGTCGCTCCTGTTCCGTAGCCTTGCACCGAGTGCACCGAGCGCACCAAGGACCGCATTTGTCGTGGGCATCAAAGTGGTGCTCTAGACAAGCTCAGGCGACATCCACAAACTCTGATTCATCGCGGTCTTTTAGTGTGCGGGACATGTAGCCGTAGTTCTTGCCAAGACGAATGGAATCCAACCTGGTCATTGTCTTCTTGTCTGCGACCTTGGCCAAATCCAAACGAATGAGTTCCCCGGTCAACTGTTTGCGGCGGTGGTTGGGATCAGCACAAAACTTTGGCTCGGGAATATGGCATGGTAGTTTCCCTTTGTCCGGGTGGTCTTGTAGCTCACCCTTATTCTTTCCCTTGGTTTTCGGCGCCTGCGGTAGAACGGTAATGTTGTTGTTGATTAGATAGTCTTTTTTCGACCACTTCAAATCGGCCCGAATGGATGAGTCGTCGTCGCAGCAAAGGAGCTCCAGAATAATGCCTTTATTGTCGTATAGATCGATCGCAATTTCCAAGGCCAGCGCTGCTTCCATCGCACCTGACGAATCGGTTGGATCATGGTTGCGGGGACAATAGTGCTCGGGGTAGTCAGGTCGGGTATCGGCATCAGGGTGATCCTTTTCGTGCTTTTCGCACTTGCCGCACTTCTTGCTCTTTTGACCGTAAGCAATGACCTGTCGAGTCATGGCACCTACCAAACTACCGTGGCCAGACGATGAATTGTAGAGAAGGCCGGATCCTTTCTGCTGTCAAGCGCCGTCGTACGATCCCTTCAATTTGATCTTGACGGGATGGTCCTTGTGCTGCTTGGGGAGTGACAGCTTCCACGCCAAATAATGTTCTTCCGTGGTTGATCGTCTAACTTCTTCGTCCAGGTTTTCCATCAGGATTTCGTCCCTCAATTCTCGCAAGATGGGGCCAATCCGTCGCTCTATCGTGGGAAATGTTCGGCCAGACATTGCCGTATCATTTGGTAACCACATCAACCCCAGCAGTTTTCCGGCTTCCACTCCACTGTTACCATTCGCATGATTGCCAAGAACGAACACTAGATTGAGCTCGTAATCGGTGCTCCTCTCATATTTCTTGTCGTCAGCATGCATTGTTGTCTTTGCAGGAATGGGTAATTCGTAGACAAACTCGCATTCTTCGTTGGCGCATCTAAGTCGAATTTGTGACACAATGCCGCAGTTGTGGACAGACATAATCAACGGCATCGGCTCGCCATCAAGGTCGCAATGAGGGCATTTGGCGAAATCGGCAACCAGCTTTTCGACTTGGCTCGTCTCCAACAGCAGGCGACTGCTGGCTTTGGTATTGAATTCCGTGGCGGTGAGTTCATTATCTTCTTCTTCGGTGGTAGCAGCCTCTTCTTCCTCAGCTGTAGTGGCCTCTTCTGGTTGAGACTCTTCATCGCAATCATCCTCGAACAGCAGCCTTCTTTTCTTCTTGTGTTTGTTGGTTCCACTGTTGGCATTTCTAGTTGATCTCCCAGTAGTGCTGACACAAGTATCATTTATTCCAGCAAGACCATTCCATCCACCTTCACTAGCAGCAAGTCTGGCTTGTTCTGTAGTACTTGATGGCTTCCATTTGGTGTGTGGTGTAGGAGTTGACTCCATCGCGTGGGTTGCTTCGAACCTACCGGTACGGTACTGTTGGCATTTATTTGCGAGGGAAATAATGTACGTCGGTCAATAATCAGTGTCAGTGCCTTTGCAATGTTGTGGCAGGCAGAATACTGTCACCAATGCGCACTTGGATTCGGTGCCTCGCCAGGCTTGCAGAGCACTCGAAGATATAAGGTATGAGGTGCGCGAACTTCGAAATTTGGCGGTGAAGCTAGAATTCCATGGCAAAATAGCGCGAATTTGGATCGGATCCACTATCCAGCGAGAATACCATCCACCAAGATTCCAAATTCCGTACAATTGCAAAAGATCTATCAAAACAAACGTTACTATTATTCGCAGCTTAAGGCTGGCTTAGAACCTGGACGGAACCACCTTAAAAAACCTCTATTTGTCTAGTAGTTTTTATCATCATTGCAAATCCGCCCCGTTTAATTTATTTCCGCTGGTACTCAAGGGAAACAGCACACACACCAAGAAACGAGAGCCAGGATCCAAAAACTGTACCAAGCCAGCACCGGCATCTTCCAAGGCAACACGGAGTTCAATACTAATGAGCCAAACCAAGCAGCCAAACCAAGCTCTCCTCGGCTTGAGCACGAAATGAACATAGTCCTCAGCAAGCATGTCGTAAAGATGTGTCACAAAAGTCCCGAGATGAGCGTTGTTGACAGAGGAGTTAGTGTCAGTCCTAGCCAGTGTACCTCTGCGGAGCTACCGGTACCAGCTCTCGAGCAGCCACACAGCGTTGTTGGCTGTCCAATAGCATACAGCCCTTCCATTCCACAGAGGCTCCATTCAGCTTTCTGGACCAGGACCTGGCTAGATGGTCATGAATCTTGGGTTGCGCTTCGAGGAATGGCAGCTAGCTAGCTAGGCTTTGGTGGTCGTTTAATCAGTGTGGGCCCTTTCCCTTGACCGGCTTCGGAGTTTTCTTTTGACCTTTTCCAGTGGGCGGAATACTCGTTGTACGAGAATCTGACGTTTACCGGTGAGTTGGCTGCTACTCTTCCAGGAAGGTTAC